CACAGAGAACTTTTCTAAAACAATTTTTAAGTGACTTGAACCTCTTTTGACAAGATTGATTCTTAAAAATGAATGATTAAACATTGATTTTTTTAATGTTGGGAATGCAACGTATAAAACAATTTCATCACTATTCAGGACCAAATAAATCAGTATGACTTCACAGGAAAAGCAAGATGAATTTCCCATGTTTTCCACATATGTTTGTGATAATGTCAGGGGGTTTTTCTGTACTGTTTGAAAGACTTGTGATAAAGCACCATAGGCATCATGCCAGATTTTTTCCAGTCAGTATGTTGAGTAAATTGAAAGAGGTTAAAAAGGCTTAGATGAAATATTGTAAGCTCATACTCCCCTTAAATTAAAAACACACCATTAAAATGAACACCTTTAATTATACTAATTAGACTACATTGTATGTGTAATGGCTATTATGCTGTTCATATTTCTGGCTGGTAGAAGCTGAAATTTTAACCCTTTAGCTGTCAGTTAGTCTACTTGAATATATTGCAATTAAATCCTAATCTAACAATGACAAACTATATATCTCTGGAAAGGTCTAAGACTTCTACATACATATTTAACCTGTTTTCTTTTGCATTAGAAAAGTGATAGATCAAAACCGTTTACTGTTACCCTTTTTAAACTATAATATTGTAGCTTACATAAAGCAATCATGACAAATAATAAATAATTTAAAAGCTTACAATTTGTACTGATTTTTGATAGACTGAGAAACAGTTATTTAATAATTTCCGATAAGGAAACTTAAAGTTGTAAATGTATTACTATGCTACAGCAATCCACATGTACAATTTTTAAAAACTGATTTCAGAGCAGGGGTGCCCAAAATTTTTCTTATGAAGCCCCAAAATATGAGTGAGGCTAGTGGGCCGAAGGTAAAATATAGTTGCCATGGATAAATTCTTAATTTATTTAATATTATTTTAAAATGACTAAAAAACATAGCTTTATATTAAGTAATACAGTATTTTTTTACACTTTATAATGAACTTCTTACAATCTCATTTATAACAGAATTACACTGCTTCTGCAGACATTTCCTTGATTTTCTCGCCGATGTCTTTTGCATAGTTCTCTATCCGTTGACTGTCAGCATATACATTTAAAAAAATTTGATTCATTTTTTCACTTTCCTTCAGCTTTTTTAAATGAACCACCAACGATTCCATGCAGCATATATGTTTTAAGCAGTGGATGCCCGCAACCCAATACTGGGATTTTTGTATTTATTTAAAACATTTAATTGAAACATATCATTTGTTTGCTCTCTTGTAGCTCAGAAATAAAACAAACAAACGTTATGTAATGTAAACGTTATGTTATGTAAAATTAGAATTGACGATCTTTATGTTAAAGGCATTTGCCCCAGCCCTCTCCATCATTCTCACTCTCTTCTCAGATGGGATATAATGGTCTGTTTTAGAGGCAAAATTCTAATTAAATGCCACAAAACTGCCAAAACAAAGATAAAATTTGATGTCTATTTTACAAATGTTGTCAAAAGTACAAAAAAAATAAATAAAAAAATACTACACAGAAATAGGGGGCACCCTTGTAAGATCACCAATGGAAACTGGAGATTTTCTAGTGGTCATGTCTGGTACTGTGCCTAAACAAAATCTTTTGGAAATCTATTTTTGAGATGTCAACTTCAAATTTGGAATTTGAATTTGAACATTTAGCTTCAATTTTTCTAGTCTAAAACAGGTTTTGTACAGATTTTACATAATATAATCCAACTATTTAATCAAAGGTATTATATACACCATAAACTTAAAGCCACAGAACATTTATTTTACTTTAATAACTTCAGCCACAATGTCAAGCATCTTCTTTAAAATGAGAAGTTTAAATCTATGCACCAAAGCGCTAATGATTGTCAAATTTTTTACATCAACTCACCAATAGACACCAGCTTGACCTTTTCATGATCCAAAAACTCCAGAGCCACCGAAACATTGTCCAGCTTGAGTTGCCTGAAGGTTGGTCTCGTGTGGTACTTTCTAAACATCCTCTTGTGGCTCAGGACCTCCAGCAAAGAGATGAGAACAAGGCCATCGCTCAGATCGGTCTTCAGATCGCTGATCCGCATGTTCACAGACCTCAGGTGTTCATTGCACCAGCGTGTAAAGGTGTTCTTCTGGATCTTCTTCCATGGTGCATCATCTGCCAGGTTGATTGCAGCTGAAGTAACGCTACATTTAAAGTCAGCCATGCTTCTCTTTGTTCGAGCGTCGACTCGAAAACCTTTTATACCAAACAGAGAAACATGAAGCTTTCATGTAGCTTTGTTGGTGGTGGGAGTGCCTTACAACCCCCAATTTTGGCCCATAATTATGATCATACAGCGCCTCAGAGAGCTGTTTTTACTCTGACATTAACCGTGTCATCATGCCGCAGCCCCACATCGTGCAAAGGAATAATAAAAACAGATTGGAGTTACATCAGTGCATGAAGAATGTATTTACTAGGAAGGCAGAGGTCAGAAACAGGATCCTCAGACTCGGGGAATTCAGCTAATTCCCACCTGCCTCCAGATGAGGGTCTGACATCACTGTTGCTGATAACCTTATCGCTGGTGACGTTACTCTTCATTTACTCCAGAATAAGGCTGGAGTGTATTATTGCCAGTGCTCTTTTGATCGGGGCACGTCCTCGTATTTCCCTTGTGGTATCGAGGAGGGATGAATCATTGGGGAGGACTGAATTACATGATGAAGTGTGTGCGCCTTGGGCTGAAGGTTTATGACAAACATGGTTATGAGTCCATCATGTTTCATGTACACTGGAAAGCGGATTTTACAATAAGGGCATGTGTACCATAGTGGGGTTTTTTTTCAGCCAGATGAAAATGATAGGAGAGCTTATGAAAATTATGAAGTGTGAGAGGACTTTGGAGTATTTAGCTTGACCTGTAGCAAAATTTTTTAAGTAATATAGTTGTAGTCTCTAGTTTATACAGATTAAATGTGCTATATAAATAAACTTGCCTTGCTTTGCATAGTCTGATAATTTTGACCAGTGTATGCATGGACACGTAAAGGGATAGTTTCTCCAAAAACAAAACTTTGCTCACAATTTAAACTCCACCAAGTGGTCCCAAACCTTTATGAGTTTCATTTTGCTGTTGACGATGTTCTAAAAATGACTTCCACAGGAAAGAAACAAATACTATGAAAGACAGTAGTACTGGTCTCCAACATTTTTAAAAATATCTTGTTATATTGTTATTATATAATGTAAATATAATGTGAAACTTATTAAGGTTTGAAACAAGTGCAGCATGAGTTAATTCTATTTTTGGGTGAACGATCGCACAAAGTAGAAATATTTGACCTTTTATCCATTATAGTAAGGTGCAGGAATAAACAACATGAACTACTAATACGCTGCAAGCTTGATGAAGGTTTTCCCATGGGTTTTTCCAATTGGAGAGTAAAATAACACCTGTGGTTAACATAACATGACAATATTTTAAAGTTTTGCTCTACAAAGTAAATTAGACACAAATGTGTTTTTGTACCTACAGTTGAAGTCAGAATTATTAGCCCCTCTTTGAATTGTTTTTCTTTTTTAAAATATTACCTAAATGATGTTTAACAGAGCAAGGATTTTTTTTTTTTTTTTTTTTTTACAGCATGTCTGATAATATTTTTTTCTTCTGGAGAAAATATTTGTTTTATTTAGGGTGGAATAAAAACAGTTTAGAATTTTTTAAAAACCATTGCCCTTTGAGCAAATTTTTTTCCCGATAGTCTACAGAACAAACCATCGGAATACAATAACTTGCCTAATTACCCTAACCTGCCTAGTTAAGCCTTTAAAATGTCACTTTAAGCTGTATAAAAGTGTCTTGTAAAATATCTAGTAAAATATTATGTACTATCGTCATGGCAAAGATAAAATAAATCAGTTATTAGAAATGAGTTATTAAAACTTATGTTTAGAAATGTGTTCTCTGTTAAATCTTCTCTCTGTTAAACAGAAATTTGGGGAAAAAATTTTACAGGGGAGTGAATAACTTAGGGGGGCTAATAATTCTGACTTCAACTGTATTTGTGCATTTTATAAAACAGATTTTCTATCTCATGTTAAAAAATATGGAGCGGATGACATTCTTTAAAACTACAAATGGGCAAATACCTGCAATATTGGGAGAAATGGGTTCTACTTATGCCTGTACACAGTATAAACAGATTTTAAAATGTTTTTGTTAATGTGACCTGTAAAGAATTATGTGACCAGTCAGCTGTATATTCAAGTTCTGTGTTATTGTTTTTTTTTATTTGTATTTGTATTTTTGCCCTCTTTCTTAAAAATAAAAAAAATTGTATAAATAACATATAAAAAAAGAAAAAAGTTGTGTCTACAATAATGATTTTCTCAAACTGAAACAAAAAAACATAGTAAAACCCCATAGGAAAACCTGAAGGAAACCCAGGCATTCCTGCACCACTCTGTTTGGTCATTGTGCAAGTAGAATGTTAGAATTACCAAATTTGTACCGCCCCTCCACAGTGATTGGACAGCTGGGTAATAAGTGACACCAATGAGCACTGCATATTAGCCAAAAATAAATCCAAAAGTCTGTAAACCCTAAAATGACACACACAGATCATTATGAATATTCTGTCATCATTAACCCACCCGTCACTTGTTTCAAACCAGTTTTTGGTTTAGTTTTACATAAAAGAAGATATTCTCAAGAATGTTGGAAAAACAAATACTACGGAAGTCAATAATTACTGGTTTTTAACTTTTTCAAAATATCTTTTTTTTTTATGTGTGTTCAACACCAGAAAGAAACTCATAACGATTTGCAACAAGTGGAAGATTAGTATATAATAACAGAATTTATCAATTACCATTAACTACATTTAATATATGCTGTAAAACTATCGCTATTCTAAAATGATCCTATTGCTATGTGTTATTGAAAATGAAAACCAAATTCATCTGATAGAACAGGCTTGAACTTCCCTTTTGCTCATTTATTGCAGATAGCACGCTTGTTAGATCAGGTAGTTCATTAAATCTCTGTACAAGTAATAAACATAAATCATAAACACTCTATAACAGCTCTCTTTAGGGAACATTAGCACTCTAATCTCCTAAGTGTACAATATTTATTATCATCATCAACATCATTATCCTTAACACATCAAACCCTTATAACAATAAAGTACAGTGCATAGACTAATCACTAATGGCTTCGTATAAGGTGCAAAGACACAAACAGGTTACATGGCAAAACAGGCCTTCAGGCCACAGAAAATATGAGTGAGTTAAAACATAAACGGATCCATCAATGTCTGAAATGTGTTATTGCAGTGGGCGCTGCGATGCTCAGTCAGCTCTCATTCAGGCGAGGTATAAACTTTTGCTTATCTAAGGTTAAGGCAATTTACTAAATGTTTGTTTGGCAAAAGCAACAGTGCTCAATAAAATACCTGTTATTAGCCAGATACTTCAAATGCTATGCAAACAGTACATCTAATTTAAAAAAAAAAGATGGGAAATGTTCTCACGTTATTACTCCCTTTAACATTTGAGTAAGAAGTTGCTTTTAAATACTCATTACTCAAACTAACATCCCGCGGACTAAAAGGACAAAAAAAGTCAAGACATCTGAGAAAGGTTTGCTAGGTGTACATGTCAGGTGCGTGTGCTTGTTACTGGTTCATCACGTGCTTCATTTTGAGGACTTTGAAAGCAAATATCCCGTCACAGCAACAGTTACAGCGGCGACAGGCATCCATCTGATCCATTTTCCCTGCAAAAAAAAAAAAAAGGCAGATAAACATCATCATCTATACTGTCAGATTAGAAATATTTACAATCAGGGATGCACATGAGCCGAGGACAAAAAGCCACAAAGACAGGACGTGGAGAAACAGGACACACAGAGGACACACGAGGACAAAAAGAGCCGGGATGCCTCAGAGCTACGCTGGAAAACTACAACCTACAAAAATGCATTTGTTAGAGACAATTGTTAGTGTGTGTCTTATAATACAAAGCAGACCTGTAGTAAAGAAACACAAGCGTTTTTTTTATTTTATTTTTTATCTGCAAACGACTGGACAGTATTTGCTAGCTTAAGCGGAGAGGATTGATTAGTGGTCATGCATAGCCCTGAGGTGGATGGATGCTTAAGCAGAGGAATGAGACGGGACAGGAGCACTGTGTACCTTTCTACCACAATGGGCCCAAGCACCAATACAGCAAAGCCAGGACAAGGCCGATGGCTACGGCTAGGATGGGCTGCAATAAAGACAGCTAAAGGAGGGAAGGGAGGGATATTACTTAATGACTGGCTTGTGTTTATTTGGGCTATTGTTGGACTGGTGATTTTTACTATCATTAAAGACAAAGTCATAAGGTGAAGTGTGTAACAGTTTTATAGGTAAAACACTTCCCTTTTTATGGATCAGTGTGCAGAGATAAATTCACTGTTTGTTTAATTGTGGTGTCAATTGATGGATCAACAGATGCTGGGAGTTTTGTGGAGACACTACCTGCTTGTTAATGGAATGGATGGAAAAAGCCCAAAAGTCTTTGCCATTTGACAGTGTTTGATGAACTGAGAAAAAAAACATTGAACCTGGACATTGAACTTATTTTTGCTTGTAATGTACATATTTTAATTACAAATATTTCATTATAAGTATTTAAATATTATAAATATTTAATCATGAGTACAAAATATCTTGCTTTAAATTGAATTCATCATTAAAAATAATGCTTAGTAAACTAATATTTTAGTCACATTAGTCATAAGAGACATTGCGATTTTCATTCTCGTTTTGCTTTGTTCACATGTTTGAGGATCAATTCACATGCATTTTATGTCATATGGAATTCTGGGGGAAAAAACAAAACTTACATTAACTTGTAATCATTAATTCGTTCATTCATTTATTTTCTTTTCAGCTTGGTCCCTTTATTATTCTGGGGTTGCCACCACGGAATAAACAGGCAACTTATCCAGCATATGTTTTACACAGCGATTGCCTTTCAACTGCAATCCATCACAGGGAAACATCCACACACATGCACTACTGACAATTTAGCTTACACAATTTGCCTATAGTGTATGTCTTTGGACTTGTGGGGGAAACTGAAATGCCAACTGACGCAGCCTATAGGCTCGAACCAGCGACCTTCTTGGTGTGAGGTGATCGTGCTACCCACTGCGCCACTATGACATCTTTAACTTGTATTATCTATAATATTTTTCAGGTCAAATTCCCATATTTTATATTTTCACTAATTCATTTAAAATGTTTTGAATTTTGGACACTGAGTGGAAACCTGTTTGGAAACAGTCTGTGCAATTTTGTGTGATGTCATTCTTTGGTCACAGAAATTGCACGCTTCATGTACAGATTACGCAATACAAAAACCTTTAAACTGTATAAAAGTGTGTTATTTTACAAAAATATATTACTGATTATTAGAACATTAAAGATACTTGTTAAGAGGTTAATAAAGAAATGAATGAATGAATAAATAAATAAATAAACAAAATTAAATGATGATATGATAATAAAAAAGTGATTTCTAAAGTGAATAAATGAAAAATTAACATAAAATAAAAAACACAGAAAAACTAGTTTTCAAAATAAATCAAAATTAAAAGTATTTTAATCATACATGAAACTTTTTTTTATAAAAACATTGAGATATCTTGTGATTTTCTTCCTTATTGTTTTTCTTTTTATATGTTCTACCCCATACTGACATAATTGTGGCATAATCCCATACTGGCATCACATGGAATTCTGGAGAATTTTTTCTGTAAGTAATTGTGTAAGTATTTTTACATAATAGCTATACATTATTTTTATGATGCATGCAATTCCATTTGTTGTCATTACTGGCCACAGAAATTACACGCTTCACCTTTAGACTTGACAAAAATGTTTAAACAAACTACAAATGGCATTGGTCAAACAAAAGAACACTTTCCTCTTGAACTGTCCCTATTGTCAGTGCCCCTAAACATTAGCGATACATGGGCCGAACACTTACATGGTTGTCTTTGTCCTGCATAAGCCTGAGGCGCTCTTGGCTCTGCTGCAGCTCCAGACTGACGGAGCGTTTCTCCTCCTCTGCATTCTCAAACTTCCCCCTCAGGCCCGACAGCTCTGCCTGCATCTCCTCATACTGAGTGCACAAAAAAAAAAAGAGTGAGAGGAAAAAAAAAACCTTTCAGAAGAAGCAATGGGCCTAGTCAATAACACACAGAGGCCAGGGCTTTTTTTAGGTGCAAGAGCTGACTGCTAATGAGACTCAGCTCTACTTTCTTTCTTTCTTAGGTATGGTGTGATTAACCTCTTTCTGCAGTTCTTTGATCCTGCTGTTGCTCTGCTCCAGCTGCCCGTTGTCTCTCTGGTGCTCCTCCTGCAGGACACTCAGACGCTTCTCCAGGTCGGCCTGCGTCTTTTCCAGGCTCTTGACCGTGTTGCTCAGGCTGGTGTTCTGTTTCTTGGAGCTGCAGGCAGGAAACAGCTTCAGATTCCCCAGAGATAACGTCGCCATTACATCATAAGTCTGCAACTTGAGCTTTTCTCCTATTTCAAGGTGAAGTTTAGGGCTGGCCATTTGATTCACTTTTGATTCACAAGCTCTTGAATTGATTTGATTCAGTATTTTTACATAGGGATGCTGAAAACTTTGGTTGCACAGGGCTGAAAACTGAAATTGAAAATGCTTTGCAATGATATTTAATTATTTTATTAACTACAATTAAGTATTTTTGTAAGAATTTTTTAATACAATCACTATTTTAACTCGATAACAAAAATTATACTGATTTAAAAAAAATAAAAAGCATTTTATTGACAGTTAAATTATTTGACAGTGAATGGTTGAGAGGCATCATTTTACCAGCATTGCCATGACATCACAGTAGCACTAAGGCCCCGTTTACACTAATGCGTTTTCATTTTAAAACGCATAAGTTTTACTACAGTTACGCCATCCGTCCACACTACGGCAGAGTTTTCGAGTGCCGAAAACGGAGCGTTTCGAAAACGCTGGAGAGGCTGTTTTCATTCTAAAATGCTGCTGCTCCGTCTTAGTGTGGATGGGGGAAAATGGAGACATTTGAAAACGAAGGCGGGGCTGCAGACATTCGCCTATCTGATTGGGGCTTTTCCTCAATTTTAAGTAGCTTACACACACAGTTCAGTCTCGCATCCTCTCCCTAAGTTCGGACTTCGCAAGTTTGATATGGAAAACAGACCCTCGAGGACATGTCTGGTAAATCTTCAAAGGGAACGAACTGCCTATTTTCATTTTGATATTAACAACTTAACAGACAGCTGAAATGCTGAAGTGTCGTGCTGCATCTTCACTGTATGCATACTTTAATAAAACAGAGCCTATATAACATCACTGCCTCTTTCATTTTCATTGAAAATCCGAAACGTATCCTCTGCTTTGCTAAATGTCAGTTTTAATAATCAATATTAGCCATTAAAAAAGTATAACGCACAATAGGTTTATACATTATAGGAAATAAAGGCAAGCGATCAGTCAATATACAGAATGTACGTGGTTACATTAATTATTAACTTATCTTTGCGCTCAGCCAAAACACGTTACCTGTGAACCAGTAATCGATTTAAAAAACCAAGGTTGGGGAATATGTCGTTAGATATAGACAACAAGATTAATTAAATATCACGTTAAATAAATATAGTGATATTAGATGAGCAGTCCGACCAGCACAGCTCTCATCTGGGTAGAAATGCTGCAGCGCTTGCCCGAGAGTGTGTGTGGTCACGTGATGTGCGTTTTCAGCATTTTGGTGTGGACGGAGAGCAGTTGAAAAACGCTGGGTAAATCACTAGTGTGGACGCGGATCGTTTTCATTCTAAAACGCCGTTTTAAAACTAAAATGCACTAGTGTAAACGGGGCCTAAGTTTGCTTTTCTGATGCGCATGTGCAGTTCTAGCATAGATAAACATGTAGTATGAGTGGAACATCAACATCAAGTGGCATATTAAGCTTGAGCCATTTTGAAATTTGACTGCAGTGCACACATTAATGCTATTAACTGCCCTTGCCTGGTACAAGCCATTGAAATGAATGGGTTTTTATAGCGCACATTATAATAAAATATTTGCAGTTTACTTATTTTTACAAAATACTATTAAAGAAATAATTTAATAAAACTTTTAGAATTAAAATAATATTTTTTTTTATGTCTAGATATATAACTTAATGCAAACAGACTAATTTAATGTTCAAAATTTCAGTCTGTTTAAATTTGGCCCCAATTTTTTAATGTGGATTACAGACACTTTATAAAAGCCCACTGGCTTCCCGCCCGAGTTAACGGACACGCATCAAAGAGCTTTGCTCTGGAACATGTGTGGAGACAAGAATGTCCACTGTCGCCCCTACTCTTAGCTATTAGAACTGAACCTTTTGCACATCTCATCCAGGGTAACAGTTTAATTAAAAGCATTAAAGTTGAAAGAGAAGAACATGAATTGTCATATGCTGATGATATATAGAAGCAACTATTCCATATCTGAAAAAGCTAATTCTTGAGTATGGCTATTATTCAGGTTATAAAGTAAATGTAAATCTCAAAACGAATTTAAATTAAAGGCATGTTTAAATGGCCTAAAATGGGTTTAAGTATCTAGGTATTCCCTCCCCTATTTGAATCAATTTTACGACACAAATTACAAAAAAATTAATCAAAAATATTACGGATGAACTAGATCGATGGTCAGCGCTCCCTCTCTCTCTGATGTCTTGCAGAAATTACTGTATTTGTTCCAAATATTACCGATAGTAGTCCCCAAATCTACATTTGACTTATTGGATAAAAAAACATTTCTAAATTCATATGGCAGAGGAAACGACCAGGAATTAAGACTTAAAACCATACAATCATGTAAGAATAATGGGGGGTTGGGACTCCCCAACTTACGTTTCTATTGCTGGTCGGCTCAACTAAGGCCTGTGATCTCTTGGATTAGAGACTGTTCGCATACTCGATGGATCAATATTGAAAAGAGTCTCTGTTCAAAATTGCAGTCCAAAACTGGGATGTTCCATATTTATTCATTATTTTATTTATGTTGCTCTGTATAAAATCTCAAATGAGCTCTAAAGGCCTATCTAGTGGTAGGCACAATAAATTGCAATTTATTTGCGATTGTCTTTTCCACAAGAGGGCATCAGGGATATTCACGACAAAAAGACTGGAATTGTCATTTGGTAATTGTCTTTTACAAAAAAAAAGGAAGATAAATAAAATAAATATGACCAAAAACTTGCATGAAAAACTGTGTAAAAATTGTTAAAATAAACAGTACAATAAAAGTAACATTATGATACATTTTGACCCATGAAAGACACTAAGGGGATCCAAAATGTGAGAAAAGGTTCAGAATTAAATTCTCTGTTGTTAATACAGCATAGGACAGACCTGTCCAGCTCTTTCTCCAGCTGCTGTTGTTTCTTCTGTAGCTGTTCTTTCTCTGAGCGCAGGCTGCTGTTCTCATTCTGCAGACTGGCCTTCTCTTTCTGCTGTTTATCAGCCAGCTGCTCTCTCTCTGACCTCAGAGATGCACAGTCCCTCCTCAGGCTCTCACAGTCCTTCTGCACCTTCTCCAGCTCGCCCGCTGCACACAAACACACACAAAAATGAACAAACTCACAGATACAGTGTTATTGCTCGCTCGCTCACTCAATCACACATGCACAGACATGTATGCACGTACACACGCTGGGACTGACGACACTACTCGGTTACATAATGATGGAAGTGATGTGAGAAATGTGAGTCATCTTCTGAATATCTGTCAGATTACTGCAAACACTGCTGTGACTGTTGGTGGATGAACTTGAAGCTTGATTTTTATCCTCCACAAACACATTACGCTCTTTGTTCAGTAGGCTTCTTGGTTTGTTAAAGGAATAGTTCACCCTAAAATTAAAATCTCCCTTCAAGCCATTCTCGGTTTATTCGACTTTTTTTCTGTATAATTTTGCTGTATAATGGTGTTGGAAAGTGGCTTTAATTTTAAAGCTTCCAAAAGTGCATAAATCACTCGTCAAATTAACCCAAAAACCGTCAATAACGCAATTCTTATGAAGATCAACGTGTTTCTGTAACATATATTTCTACATTGTAAAATAAATCCTTTAATTACAGACTTCTGGCTGTGGCCGAATGCACATTTATGCAACCGATGTATAGAGCATATGATGCATGGCCAAAGACGAGTACGTAGCAATGTATGAGTAATAAACTGTATAACACTATACAGTAGTGCCAAGCCAACAAGTTTTCTTGTTGATTTTCATCTTCTGCAGCAAAAAAAAGAGGTTCCTGTGAAATGCGTCTATTCCAGGAGTTTCCACTATGAATGTCTTTCACCATGTGCCATATGTCTCATAAGTCAGTTGGGTATAACATGCAATGGGCAGCTGACAGAAGTCAGCGATGGCAGTTTATATTTGAAATATTTTTGTAAAATAAATAAGTAAATCATACGAAATACTAGAGTTGTCGCGATGCCATTAAAGGTTCACAAAACCCTCAAGTACTTTTTTGAGAATTTAATATTTGTGTGTGTTGAGCATCAGTTTCGGCAATGTTAGCACCTGTTAGCTTTAATTGTGGGAAAAATTTGATAATTTTGAGCTTTTGTCAGCTTTTGTTTGGGGCGGGATCAAAATTGGCGACGTAACGCAAAACTGCAAGTGCAAAGATGACGCGTCGGTTTCTCATTATTATTCATAGGTGATTTTTCTTATTCTATGAGAAGAGGCTGCTTTTCTTAATTATTCATGACTGCACGTGCTTTTCGAAGGCAAGGCAGACCTGCCAGTGGCAAGCTGTGAGATACGGTCCCACGGCACAGTATTTAGCTGAAGGGTCGTATGTGCTTGTTTCCATGATCCACGGGGTTTATTGCATGTTTTTCCACCCATGCTATCAGGGGCGATACAGCAAAGCTGTTTGTGTGCAGCAAGCATTTTTGTAGAGAGAGCAGTACGAGAATTAGAGAATAGCAGACAGGAGTTTATTCACATTTAGACAAATCGCCGTGCAGCTGCGTTTGCCTAAAACCTCTAGATTACCAACAACGCTAATGGTTAAAGTAGACAGGATAAGAGACCTGCTGCACGGAGTCTGCATTCAGACCTATGATTCAGACCCGGTGATTGAGGGAAAAGTCCTCATTTATAGTGTTTATATAAACACGATGATCTTTATAATGATATAAATTATAAATTTAATAAAAATCTGTATATGAAACTATGAATAACAAATGTAGCAGGGCATTAATTTACTGTTTATTTCTTTGCGTCTCCTCACGGTTTGTGTTTAATTTTGTGAGCTAACTGACAATAGTTGTTCGCTACCCTCCTTCTCCCCGCCCACTCCTGCCCTTTGCCCACAGAGCTCCACACCCATTATCATGCATCTTTTGAAAAAATTCAGAGGTAGACCTGAACCGAAAGTCGGGGATGTCATGATCCTTTAATTCTTCTTAAGATACTATACCAGCTGAAGTACCACAATACCAGGTAGTTTTGTGATTCTGTAATTCATAACTCAAATTATAAAGAAAATTGCCAAATACTATATTTTAGGTTATAATAGGCCTACTTGAATGTAATCCATAATTCACTTATTATTGAAAAAGTACTATTTACACACCACTTCCCCAAAAATATTCATTAATTTAACTATTTTGTAGATAACAGACCAACAAAACATGCATTAAAATAAAGATCCAAATTATGCAGAATGAAATTTGTTACAAAAAGAGCATTTTTTTCCAACACGATGAGGCTATATGAAGAGCTCAAAATAGTTAAAATGCTTCCTGTTGCTTTCACTCTTATCAGGTAACAATCCAAAGTAATTCAAAATTTCACTTTGTAAGAGATTGCTGCAGTTGTTGTAGCTTCTAAATCATATTGACAGGGACAGAAATGATCTGATTCAGATGTGGGTTCAAACTGAAGGGTTAGAAAAGGGCAATAGGCTACCATAAAAAGCGCAAATTCGACACAGTTTTGCAACCTTAAAGGGCTCACTTTTCCACATGCAACATTATCTATAGTAGATAGACCATTAATGACGATATTACAATTTGCAAACTACCGTGGCACCACCACTATTTTGGAGACATTATACCGCGATACTACCATAGTACCAGCAACCCTAGGACATACACAATATCCCCCTGGCAGCATAGAGGTTATTTTGACAAAGGATTTATGAGCTTTTAGAAGTTTAAAATTAAAGCCACAATCCAACACCATTACACTGCATGGAAGAGCCGGGATAAAATTTAAAACTACCGTTTGTCTGACAGAAAAAAAACAATCATATACACGAAGATGGGTTCATGGGGTAATTTTAACTATTGCTTTTAGAGATAATGACTGTGCAGATGAAATAAAAAGAGCTTTAATTTTACTGAAAACTAATTTAGAAATTTAACCTGGATGAGAAATCTTTACAATTTCACATCATTTTAAGATTTTTGCAAAGAAAGCAGATTTAGATGATTAAGAAAGCAGATTTAGTATTTACTGTAGGCTTGAAATCTGATCTGGCCAGTCCAATAATCTGCAAAGATGCAAGTCTGTGTGGTTGTGATTACCTTGTTGTTTGGTGGCTCTGTCCCTCTGCTGGTTCTGCTGCTGGTGACTTGCCTGTACACTTTCAAGCTCGCGCTCGTACTTGTTTGCTGCCTGCTGCCATTTTTCCAGCTCTGAAGTGAGCGTTGCAAGATTCCCCTTCAGCGCACTGACCTCATGCTCTCGCTCTGCTGCCGTTTTCTCCATAGTGCGACGCAGCACCTGCACTTCCTCCTGAGCCGCGTGGGTTTCCTGTCTCATGCTGAAGACTGCGCTGTCCTTCTGATCCCTGAGGTTTTCCATCTCTTCCTGGAGCTTCTGGAGCTGAGCTAAATCCACATGTAGACACATATACACATTACACACATCGCTTGTTATAATACGCTGTTTAGTAAATATGGCTTAGGACATCAGCCCTTCTTCACTTACTCTGTAAGACCTTCATCTGTTTTGCTGACTCCTCTGCCTGCTGCTTATTGGCTCTTTTCTCCTCCTCCAGTAGACCTGTCATACACAGCACAAACCATCAGGGGGATCTGTTGAGCATGGCTACCATTCCTAACCATTTCTAATATTATATTACTATTAACAACAACAAAACTGTACATAGCTTATATGTCCAAATCATTGAAAATGTTTACAGAGTCAATTACCTATCTACATAATAAAAACAACACTTTTAATGTATTATTTAAATATATATATATATTTTTAATATATTTTAATGTATTTTATAATGCATTTCTAATAATTTAAAAGGTTCAAACCCTGAACTCTCTTAACAATAAAAAATATTAGTAATAACAAAAATTATCAAAAATTATAATAAATAATTATAAATAATTTTTATAATTTAACAATTATTCAATAATTTATGAAGTAGATTTATTATTTCATCAGTCAACAAACTTACAATCTATTTATTAATAAATATCAATTTAATTAATAATAATAATAACAACAACAACAACAATACATATTATTTTTTATTGAATTAATAATTTTAATTTAGTTAATAATGTTCAAAGACTTATTCAAACATCAATAATAACAACAGGAACAATACTAATCAAATTTGAAATTACACAACTCATAAATAATCAATAATAATCATACTAATTAACATCTATATAAAAATAAGACTAACACATTTATTATTCATTGAATAGAAATATGCAATAATTGATTCATTCAAATATCAATGTAATGATTAATAATTATACTAATATTATTAATAATGGCAGTAGTAATACTGCAACTAATATAGTTTTACTAATTATTTAATAAATACTATTTAATATTTATTTAATAAGGGCAGTGTTATTATTAAATAGATAATAATATTAAATAAATGACATAAATAAATATATGATGATTAATCGTTTATTAACAACAATAATAATAATAATAATAGTTATAATATATATTTTATTAATTTAATAAATAATATTTATAATTTAATAAGGGCAGCAGTTATTATTTAAAAAGTAAGAACATTCAATAAATTAATTGACAAATATTTATTATTTTTACAGGTTTATTAAAATAATGCCAAATATAAATATAATAATAATAATAATAATAATAATAATAGTTTATTCAAATGTCTATATAATTAATAATTAACATTATATTATATAAATAATAACAAAAGTACTGTAATTTTTTACCACTAATAATACTAGTTTTATTTATAACTTAATAAATACTATTCAACATTTATTTAATAAGGGCACTGTTGTTATTATTAAATAGGTAATAACGTTAAATAAATAACATTAGATATACTATTGAAAGTTTACAGGTTTATAAAAATAATGCCAAATATAGATCATAAAAAAACAACAACAATAAAGCAACTACACACAAAGGTATTGAAAAAAGTGCACATGCGAGCTTTTCAATACCCTGTACCTTGAAGTTCGACACATTTGTGTTTGCTGGAGTTGGCCTGTTCATTGGCCTCCTGCAGTTCCTGGTTCAGCCGCTGGATGACCTTCTCAGACTCACTGGCCTCCACAGTGCTCCTGCTCAGCTCATCTGGAGAAATGATTACACTGATGACATCTAATGGGAACTATTACATGCATAATTAGACACTATTATGGGGCTCTGCTGTCAGAGAATCACTCTTTCATCAACAGTTAATAGGTGATCAGTGTCTTTATCTCTGGATCAGCATCAATGAGGAGCGTTTCAACTCTGTCGGATTGTTCTGTCCTCCGCCAAAGTGCAAACCCTCTCTCCAAAGGTTAATTAAATCAGAAAGAATCGCATGGTAATTTCCCTGGAGGTCTGAAAATGGGCCTATTCCATGAATTAATAACTTGACTCAGAATAGATCTATCCTAAAAACATAATGCCATCCATGCGCTTTAAAATGTGATCTGTGAAGATGATGGCTGGGTTTTTAAATGAAGCAGAAATTTGATTAAACGTTTAAGGGATTCTTATGTTATACAATGCCTTTCATAAGGGATAAGAAACATGTGCTATATAGAGTGATAGCGTTAATAAAGATTCACTGCTGTGCAAAATTTCATATACTGTCTGCTCTTTAAAGGGACAGTTTCCCCAAACATTTTATTTACTCACAACGGGATACAAAACTTAATGATTTGGAGATAAAGAAGATATTTTGAACACTGTAAAAAATTGATGGATTCCTCACAATTACTTCATGTTGACCCAACACAAATGGATTAAGTTAACTAAATAATTTTCACAAATTTAAATGGATTGAATATAAAACATTTAAACTTGTCCAAAAGAATTGTGTTGTTCCAGCTCATTTTAAATAATAAGTTTGAACAAATAGCAAATATAATTTTTGCGGAAATAAATAAATAAATAAAGACATGAAATCCATAGTAGGAAAAAAAAAAATACTAAGAAACTCGAAATTTCCAGTTTTCAACATTCTTCAAAACATCTTCTTTTGTGTGCAACAAAACAAATGAACCATAACAGATGTGGACCAACTGTAGTGTGAGTAAATGATGACAAAATAATCATTTCTTTGTGTGAACTATCTCTTTAATTTACCTTAACTTAGAAACACTCTTGCTCCTCTTTCGCTAAATATGGGTTGCAGAAAACCAGGCCATCTAATCAAATGCTCCAAAAAGATATGACCTCATCTTACAAACTCAAGGGTGTACACCATAAATGGCCGTATCAAGGACATATCACTGCAAAATCAGATGTGCAACTCCAGATAATTCGACTTCGCATACTTTACTTGCATGACTAAGCTAAAATACCGAAGCCTCTGCAGGCCAAACACAACCACCGGAGCAGGAAGGATGAAGGCATTAACGTTTTATGAGATATTGCAGTGGGTAATGTTTATTGATGCCATTCTGCATCAAGAAGTCAATCTCTCAGCAGAGTTCGAGGACACGCAGGAACGTTCTGGCCTAATTTATTTTTGAGTGTGTTGAGGAAGACAGACGGATGAGAAGATGTACCGTGCAGTCAGATCAACAAAATATCCTCTGAAAGCTGATCAAAGTATTAGCAAAGCCTAGAAAACGGTCATATTGTTATTAAACCCAACAACAACAGCGATTAAAAAAAATGACATGCTTGAATAAATTGATTTCTATAAAGAAGTTGGTTTGGGGAAAAACAAGTGCACTGCTGATATCCACTCCAATGTACTTAGACACTTAGTACATTTAACTGAAGTTGTATTGTAATATCAAGACAGATTACTCAGTCTATTAATGCTAAAATTATGTTAATGCTAATGCTTAACTTTGCAACTGTTATTTATTCATTAATTCTGGTTTTAAAAGATAAACAAGAAGACTTAATACAATTAAATTACGCGGCAACTCTTTCATTAAATAATAATATAATATTAATTCATTATGTTAGACATAAAACACCTTAATATCCTGACATACAAAAACAACCTTAAAAACCAGGTTTAAGATCTTAACTAAATGGCTAATGTGACAGTTTAGTGCTAAGTTACAGTTTACACTTCAGCAAACAACCACAGAATTTCAAAAATTTTAATGTGACTTTACCTTTGATTAGGGACACTTTATTAATAGGATCTTTCAGCTTTTGTTCCTCCATTGTTTCCCCCACTGTGACAGAGTATGAGAGTGGTGTTAGTCACTTTTAAATATTACCTTTAATATATCTAATATTATTTCAATCATTTGGAATTTGAATAGTAAAGAAAGTAAATTAATGACATAACCCGTTAATTATGAAATTCCAGGTGACACCAATCGTGAACGAGATAGTTAACTGGAAAAAATCCAGTTTTCAAATATGCCAAATGATTTGTAAAGAAATTAACACAAATCTTAATATTTTTCAGATTTGCCCTTCAAAAATATAGCTTGCATCCAACGCATAACGTCACGCCAGTTATATAATACAGCTTAGCGTCGTTGTATCAATTAAGAAGACTAGTCATCACCTACACTTAAGACTGAGCACTAAAAACAGACGGCATTACCTGAAGACTCGTGATGTCACAACAGTCGGAGCCGAAACAGAGCTGCAAAATTCAGCCTTCTTTAACTATCGATTCGCTCTGGTGATGAGAACCGGACGAGTCCATTCTGAAGCGAGGGGAGTCACCGACGCATCTACAAATCTTATCTGGGGGTCGTGTCAACAAAACAGGACAGAAGACGGTTAGGTGCAGAAGGTGTCTTGAATGAAAGGCTGATTAATTATTTTGAACTCTGAGGTTTAGTTTGCTTTGTGGAAATTATTTGCATGCGTCGTCATGTGACGCCCCCCAAGAGGTGAAGGTCTGGAGGTCTGGCTCACATGGGCACATGAGCGTCCTGAGGCATCTAAAAAGAGGCTGCAGCTGCATGGTAGAACACACTCAAGCCCATTGTTTCACTCGTTATGGCGTCTCTTATGTAAAGAACCGTTAACAATAGTGGTCATTTGTGCTTGTATCAGTGCCAAGCTAAGCACCGTGGTTTTGATAATTATATTAGCTCATTGACTGTATGTCAAGATGTCAATCAAGACTCTCGAATTGCATTTTTAAGACGCGTATTCATACAAATAAAAAAACTCTTATTTAAAGTGTTAATTGAACAAAATTAAAATTCAGTCATTTTTTGCTTCACTTTCATATAGTTCATTTTTGTGACGCAATATAAGCTTTTTTGACCAAATTTTGTATGTGTTCCCCCTTCAGACTCTCCAAATTGTAAAAAAAAATAAATAAATAAATAAATAATAATAATAATAAATAAATAAATAAAACCTTTATGAATAAAGCAGTTAAATTTTTTTGGAAAAGACATAATGACTATATGATCAATAAGTAATTAAAAAGCAAACAGAAAAGCTCAGGAAAACAGCTTGACATTTTTGAAGAAAGCAGGCAAGAAAGAATCTCATTGGTTCTCAAGTGTCATGTGTCTGAGAATGCGGTTTAGTTCATATGTGTTCATATGTAAATAAAAACTTAATTGAAATCTGTTTATAATATAAAGCATTTAAGTCTCTTAAGATTTAGATTAAACCATTAAATTTATATGGATTTAATTATTTATTTATTTTTCAGATTTTTAGTCGACGGACTGAGGTCTCTCCGGTTTGATTAAAAATATCTTCATTTGTGTTCTGGTTGTTTAGGTACAGTAATGACTGTTTTAACTGTGTTGACAAATCAAACTTTTGGAAATGTATCATAAATTTCTTTCTAGCGATGTTTAATGGTCATATATTTACATAAAGTGAAAACAACTTTTAAAAAATATACTATGCACATGTTCTCACTGTGTTGGCGTGGGTTTCCTCCGGGTGCTGCGATTTCCCCCACAGTCCAAAGACGTGCGCCATAGGTGAACTGGATTAACTAATTTGGCCATAGTGTATGTGCGTGAATGAGTGTGTGGATGTTTCCCATTACTGGGTAGCAGCTGGAAGGGCATTCGCTGTGTAAAACATATACCATAAGTTGGTGGTTTATTCCGCTGTGACGACTCCTGATGAATAAAGTGACTGAGCCGAAGGAAAATAAACATGAATACTTGATGACCATATTTGGGGAAAACCCCTGATATAGAGTATCTTGATGTAGACGTTGATTTTGAGTACTAGGAAAAAACTTAGATATTATTTTGGATTAATATGTTTAGCATATGTAGGAGGAATCAGGTTTGTGTGGGTGCATTGTATTGCCCCTTCAGAAATTCATCTATTGAGCTATAATTTACTGACAGCTGTTTTTAATGCAGGACATTTTTATTATTATTATTTGAAATATTGCATAGACATTTAGATTTAAGAAATCGTTAAATAAAATACTTATTTTTTTACCATCCCTATTAATTAATTTATGAAATATTTATGTTTTTTTCAGTGTGACTGACATGTGCTGGCTACTTTGTCTACATTTGACCAACTGAGGCAACTGATGTGGAATTAAGAGTTTACTATGCTCAGAGGAAGACTGAAAGGGTTCATATGGATCTCTTCGTTGTTGTCATGGCGACAGAGCAAACCCGTCTCACTCATAGTTCTTGCCCACGTATCTGCTGACCACACTAAACAGACTGAGAAAAATCAGACTCGATCACAGTGAATATCCCTCGGTTGAAGTGACCTTGTCCAATGCCATCACAATTACCTCGAGTCCTTGAAAGGGATGAGTCATGGTCATAAATCCCATAAGCATCTACAGCTTTTAACAACAACAAAACGCAGCCATATTTGTCCAAGATTGAATCTAAAAATGGATCTTAGGTGTCTAAATAATTCAGTGTTTTGCAGAATAGATTAGGATGATTGTATCTATGTCTCATTCTTTCTCGCAAATACCCACACCTAATATTTTTATGTTCACAATTGCAGTTAATTTATTATTATTTTCTCATAATGAGGTGTTTTTTTGTAACAAAACCAGTAAATATTTGGTCCACTTCTAAACCAATTGTGGTCAATTAAAATACTGAAATATGAGCACAAAAGGGACTAGAAACAAACCAAAATAGGTTATGATGTCATAAGATGTGACCCTAAAAAAAGAGATAACTCTCTGGCATACCTGTTCTTTCACATCATAGTGATAATGTTGCCCATTACAAGTGCATGCAGGCAGTAGAAACGTGTCTCCTTGCACCAGATCTTTATTTGTTAGTGTGATCAAGGATTCAGCTTAGCACACAGCATTGCTTTGGATTGTTTTCGGCATTAATATCTGTACGAAAGTATGTAGCAAATGCCTTTTATAATAGTAAGCATGTTAAATGCTAATGTATAATTCTCTCTTTTGGTCTGAGAAAGAGCAAATACACTCTAACTCATTAGGTATAAAACAATTAGTAAGTAACACTCGGCCATGAGTAAACCGACATGATACTGTTTGTATATGCATAACAAAGCCACATTAAAGCCAGCTGCGAGGCTGTTAGACCCTGCAGGAGATAACATGCGATGCCGTGAGAGTCGGTGGCGCAGGAAGTACTGCATGTGTGAGTAAAGTTTGTTTTGAAGGCAGACAGGTAAACTGTCCCAGTAAGAGGGCAGCGCTGAAGGCTCCTGCTGAGAAGTGTGAGAGGAGAGCAGATGGCAGAAAGGGCAGGAAAAAATCAGACAGGAGGGGGTTGCTGCTTATTCACGACAACAAATGGGACCATAGCAGACAATCAGCATGAAGTGGGTAGGAAAGGCAGTAGTGATCCCTACAGTAGTGGTCTGCATGGCCAGATCACTGTTTTATCGAAGTACATAGAAAATAGCACAACAAGTGCATGCAGTATATAGATAACATAGCCTAATGCAACACCTCTGGTTGTGTTCACACTGGCAAGGTGGGCACACTAACAAAACACTGAAGAGCTCAGCCTCTATCTTAAGCCACCTCTTGGGGTCAGGGGAGTGAGGTTTACCTATATGCTCAACCCCCTCAACCTCATTTCCATCTGGGTCACGGCACCACTATATAATCAGATAGCATGGTAGATAGACATTCTAACAAGGATGATTAAAGTTGGCATGAAAAAGAAGTTGAGATTGTTCTTTTCCACCCATGCCATGACGTATCTAATTGAAATGGTTTCTGAAATGAGAAAACAAATGTAGGGTGGTGCTCGATTTCATCCACTGGGAACTGATTGGATGATTGTAAGATGGACGTTTCAAATTAAATGGAGGAAGATTTGAATGCCAGTTGTGGAGGATTACTGTCCACCAGAATCACTGTCGACATCCTCTGGTGCAGAATGTTTTCAGATGCTCGATGATGACAAGAATGAGGAGCTAAATATTAAAGATTGAATTGTATCGTATTTATTTAAACCATTGCCTTCTGCGAAGGCAGGGCAGAAAGGAGAGATGTACGGATAATCCCATCCTAAAGGCATTCCATGTGACCAGAAGTGAAAAAAATTGTTTCGAGGTGAAATGAAGGTTATGTTATTTGATTAAAAATTATGAGGGTAAATATCCTTTTTTTTTTTTTTTTTTTACAAAATAATTAACTGCATAGATAAATCGTTTATAACAAGCACTGCTGTATATATATATATATATATATATAAGAAGATCACATTTTGATTTCATGCTGCTGCCTTGTCAGTCACTTCAGTGCCATTTAAGAGACAAGGGGAGGGAGATTTACTCACATAGCTATTACTAGCTGTCCTCCATTACCTTCACAGCCCTAAACCTCACTCCCATCCAGGTCATAGCAACAATAAAATCTCTCCGCTTCTACTTGGTCGACACAGAAGGGAAATCGGCATCTCCAGCATGGAAGGGGGCAAAATTAACACATACAGTTGAAGTCAGAATTATTAGCCCCCCTGAATTAATAGCCCCCGTTTGTTTTTTTCCTCAATTTCTGTTTAACGAAGAGTTTTTTCAACACATTTCTAAACATAATTATTTTATTAACTCAATTCTAATAACTGATTTATTTTATCTTTGCCATGATGACATTAAATTTGACTAAAAATATTTCAAGACACTTCTATACAGCTTAAAGTGACATTTAAAGGCTTAACTAAGTTAATTAAGTTAACTAGACAGGTTAAGGTAATTAGACAAGTTATTGTATAATGATAGTTTGTTCTGTAGACTATCGAAAAAAGTACAGCTTAAAGGGGCTAATAATTTTGACCCTAAAATGGTTCATAAAAAATTAAAAGCTGCTTTTATTCTAGCCGAAAAAAAACAAATAAGAAAATCCAGAAGAAAAAAAAATTATTAGGCATACTGTGAAAATTTCCTTCCTCTGTTAAACATAATTTGGGAAATAATAAAAAAAAAAAATTCAAAGGGGGCTAATAATTTCGACTTCAACTGTACATACCCCTACCACCTGGCCATGGCACTATTGTAACCTCTCTGGTTCTATTCGGTAAAATTCAAACCAATGTTTGGGAGGTGGGCACACTAACAAGGGTACCAAAGACTGCAGCTTCTAACATTAATCACTACTGTGCTCTTTTTTTAAAGCAAGGGGAGGGTCACCGCACCAATGAAGTGCAGTTTTTCTCTGAGTGGACTAAGGTATTTC